TTTATGTGACAGTTATCTCCATAGCAGGAGAAAATTTAAAAATAAAGTATTGACACTCTTTAAGAGAACAGCAAATATTTCAGTGCTCAGCATTACTTGTAATTGTTATATGATCATGATTCATAGACTTATTCAGGATCTCTGTGTGTATGTCCTATCATATTTCATTTCTAGTGACTCCACAGTATGTTTTTTGTCTTTAAGAAAAATGTTTAGGGACTGGCTCAACAGTTAAGAGCACTGACTTCTCTTGCAGAGGACCCACATGGTGACTAACAATCTACCTTAATTCTTGTTCCAGGGGATCTGATGCCCTCTTCTGGCCTTCATGGCCATAGTATGACATGGATACACATACATAAACACAGGCAAAATATTCATGAATAAATGTTTTAAAAAAAGAAAAATGTTTAAGTATGCCAGATTATTTTTTGAGTATCACAGTGCAGAATGATTGTTCTGACATATTGAACTCATGTTAGTTTTGTTCACTACTTTCCAAAGGTCTAGTACAGTGCACAGCACCAAAGTATTTTTTAATTAATAAGTGACCATAGGAGTAAATAAGGATAAATGTTTTTCATAATGTATTACTTTTTAATCTGATAAGCTGAGCAGTTTATTCCAGTTGTAACATACAATGGAAAATTGATTCTGAACATAGACTTCCTAAATCACATTGACAACAATACTAAATGTCAGTGGTAGTTTAGAATTCATTAATTAGCCTGACTTTCATAGTAGTTTAGTATAATTTCAATGAGTCTTTGAACACTCTCAGGCCAGCGCTGGGTTTTGAAAATTGGGCATGCCTAGAGAGACCTAGTGACAATGATGAATTCTGTGAATTGTCCCATGCCAAAACATTAGGCAGATGGGCAGTACTTGGCTGCAAATGCAACCCGAAGGAGACTGTTAAAGGAGGAGGGCATTCGTGCAATGCCAAGAGAGCCAAGATGGAGCAAAAATTGGGCAGATACCCATGTGGGCCCTTTGTGTCCTCAGCTCTGGAAAGGTTTGAGTATTAATCACAAGAGCCATTCTTTGAAAAAAATATATAACACCAAGCCTACTGAAGAATTGAGCAGAAACTGATCTTTCAGTGTTGTTTTGAGCTTTTCCTTGGAAATGATGTCATTTCTTACAGTGTCCAAGGGCACACTGAAGAGAACGGACCCCACTGGAGAGAACAGACCTGGAGGATTCTCTTGAGAGCACTTCTTAGATGATTGACAACTCCTGAACAGAACAAGCTGTTCCTTTTAGACTGACTACTGTGTGGAAGCTGATAGGAACAGCCCCAATGATTTCCACTGAAGTTGTCTATGGAGATGATTGTGTTGGGCTGGGGCTGTAGCCTACTGGTAGATCACTTGCATTCACAGGGAGTTCCATTCCTATTATCACAAACAGTACCACCAAAAAAATTGACACCTATAAATGATTATGTCTGTAGCTGTTTCAGGTTCTGAACCCAAAGTTCCAAGATCATTACAACTCCCAGAAAATTTATATGGGGTGCTTTTTCATAGTAGATGGAGCTCTGAGGTATTTTCTTGTTATTTCCTCTTGTTTGTTCCTCTCCCCACGCCCATTTTTTCCTATTCTTTGTCTGTCATTGTCAGGCTTATGTTTGAGATATCTCCATGTTTAAGAAATTAGCATTTTTTTCAGTTATATAAAAGATGCCTTTGCTAGTATGGATACTAAACATTTAACAGTTTATTTATTGTGATTTGAGAATTTTCAGTGACTTCTTTACAGGATAATTAGAATCTATATTGGAGGAGGGAAATGAGGTTCAGGCCAAGTAGCTTTAATCCTTGTCTTTATAATGTTGTAAATGAATCAGTAAACCACTTTTTTTCTGGGTTTGATAACCATGACCTGGAATTAGCACTCTTTGTCAGATGTTAGACATTTATCATGGTTGTTTTTTACCTGTTCTGTGGGCTGTGCCATTTTGTCTTATAGGTAACTATGCAAATATATTCTGCTTGATGACATGAAGCTGTAACATGAAGTATTTTGGTGTAGTGCAACTGTCATAATGAGTTTCCCTTAGATGTCTCCTTTTTAAATGTTTTGGTGCTCTCCAGCACTAAAAGTTTGATTTCTTGGCCCTCTGATCAGTAAGAGGTTGATTACTTAAAAAATAAAACTTAATTGTTCTTTTTTCATTATTGTAATAACTTTAACATTTTCCTAACATAAAAATATTTTATTGTGCTTAAATATGTGATTGCATGACCTGTAGACTACTCATTATGACATAAACTACAGTGACATTGTCATCTCTTGCTATAGAATGGGCGTAATTGTCCTAAGAAGAAATTTTGGGCAACAACTATTTGAAGTAATTTGAGCCCTTCAAAGGATTCAGTGAGCCAGGGATCTGGCTTTCCTGATGGGATTGAAGGCTCACTGTGCGCTTTAAGTAGTCCCTCTTCAGGCATCTGGTTTTTGAAAATATAATCAGAAATGAAGTAGAGGAAAGATCAAATCTGGGGAACCACGGAAGTCAAAAGTGAAGTCTTCCCTGGTTGAAAGTGAGAAGCTGTCGTTATGACAGAGATCCATACTTCCATTCCAGTGGTCACCAATAAGCACTTTTTGTATTTTAAAATTGTATCAGTTTGTTTTGTATGCACTTTATTTTCCAATGTTTAGGTCTTACTAATGAGAAATTATTGTATTTGCCTACATAGGAAGAGCCTTTTTTATTCTTTTCTTGATCCTTTGAGAATTTCATATAATGTATTTTGGTCATATTCATACCCCTCCCTCATGTCTACTCTCATCCTACTGCTCCCCTTCATGGACCCTCTGTTATTCTTTCTGGTTTTTTTTTTAAGCTATCAAGTCTAATCTGTGTTCCTCAAGTGCTCTTGCATGTGGCCCAATCCCTTGGTGTCCAGTCAACCTATCAGGCTAAAGAAAATTGACTACACCCCTAAAGAACATTGACTCGCCCTCTCCCAGCAGCCATCAATTGCCAATAGACTCTCAGTTAGGGATAGGGTTCTTGCCTACCTCCCCCATCCTCAGCATAGGAACGTCTTAAAATATACCTGGACACTTATATTTAGGAAGTATTGATTGAGGAGTTGGCAGCTCTTTTGTGTGAAAAGAAGCTATTTATTCAGAGATTTTCATGTGGAGTGACTTTCTTACGAGGTTTGAAAGGATAGAAATTAATTTTCATAATTATCTTAGTATTTGATGTTGGCTATTTTAACAGTTCAGGCCTAAAATATAGAGCTGTATTAATAAAATAATGTAGGCTTTTTACCTCAAATCACCTGCATCTATTTCCTGTCTCCAGGGAAAACTTCTCAGAGCAATGGTTCTCACTTAAGCCATTAATGATCAGTATTACCTGGGTCCCCTTCTTAGGGCTCACTGTAGACCTGTTGTCAGAAACCCTGGAAGATCCATTGGGCATTTTCAGTGAGATTTCCAATGATTCTGCTGCACATTAGAATTTAAGACTCTCACTTAATCACAGGACCAGTTCATTTTAGCTAGAATGCATCACACAGTCGTAATCAGAAATAATATTAAAGTAATTATGAATATTAGAGCACTATTGAAATAACAGTTGCTATTAGTACATTAAATTCTCCTAAGATGAATTTAAGCATATTTCAAGTGTGCAATTTGCCTGATTTATGCATATGAATGCTTTTCTCAGCTCCCATTTCTGGTTTCTTTATTTACCACCATTATCACATCTGCTAAGGAAGTTGTGAAAAAATTAAAGGATTTTAGGGAATTTGCAACTTCTAAAGCAGAATGATAGAAAATAACTAAAAAATGAAAACAGAACAAGCAGTGCACAGATAACTGCACAGCCCATACTAGAAAAGGACAGCTTTCCGTTCCAGTATCCACTCTGTCTTAAGATGGTATAGTTTGAATTTCAAAAGTCCTGTGAGGGCGTCTGTGTTGAAGGGATTATTCTCAGCAAGTGGCATTGTTGGAGATGCTGTTACCTTCAGGAAGTGGGCCTAGTGAAGGGATTTTGTATCAGGCGACTATACCAAAGAAGGGGATACAGTGTCGTCCTCTCTCTCTCTCTCTCTCTCTCTCTCTCTTTCTCTTTTGGTTCATCTCATGAGATGAGCAGTCTTCTCCATGAATTTCCCACCATGATATTCTTTCCTGTTATAGCCTCAGCACATCAAAGCCAAGTGACCATGGAGTGAAACTTCTGAAACTATGAGCCCAGATGAATCATTTCTCATAAAGAGATAAGCTCATGATAATCCCTCATGATTATCCCTCAGACAGACATTCAGATACTCAAACAGTGGGCAAAAGATGACATTCAGAAAGGAATCATGTAAACTTCTACCTGGTCCTAGTATGTAGTGGAGGGTGTCCAGCTAA